GTATAGCTAGGGTTTTAGCCTTAAACATTATTTTGGGTTTGTGAAGACTTTTTAGGTGTTTGTGTTTCAAGTTCAATTGATTGTTGGTTGATTAGGTTTTGGTTTTTGTTTGTATGTGAATTTGTTTGTGATTGTGTTGATTTGTATATGGATTGATTTGCGAGGTTGAGTTATGTGTTTATTTTATTTTATTTTTTTACTAAAATACCGACTTGATGTGTGGAGGTTTTGGCAAAGATAGGAAATTGTGTTTTTGTGTTTTGATTGATAGGTCTTTATCGATTTGCGGTGTCACCTTCATCCTACACATAGGTGTCTATTGTAGGAAGATGACTTTTGTCACTTTCATCAAAAGATGATAAGACTCTAAATGTTGTTCTTTTTTTCTTTTTTTTTTTGTGTAATCTCATATAGCACACCCGCTATACTTACTAGAACTATTACGAGATCTTTTATGTTGGCATCAACAAAGAGAACTTTGTAATAAAATAAAGTAAAAGTTAATAGAAAAGCGTTCTATAGGGTAGTGAATCTCCCAAATTTATATGTAGTTAAATCAAATCAACTTGCAAATATAAACTACAATTATTTCTAATGATATTTTTAGGGTTTACCATTGTAAAAACACTTGATTCAAAAGAATTAAATAGACTGCAAGAGACTTATAAAGCCCTTGCGAGGAGACCATTACCTCCTAAACTAGTTGGATTGTAAAAACAAAAGATAAATAAATTAAAATAAAAAATAAATTAAGGTAGAAGTCAAACTCTTTAATCTAGTATGCAATCAATATAACTAGATTAAACTACAAAATCAAAAAATCAAGCGATTAAACACTACGAGCTAAAGGCTACAATATGAGCAAAAATTGGATAATTAAAAATTAGAAAAATTTATAAAGTAATATTGCCGTCTTTACAATGACATATGAGTGTCTCCTCTTCACCATGGTCGAAAGTTTTTGGTCTCCTATATTTAATTTTTATATTTTGTTTATTTAATTGCCATGTTAATTGGATTATTTTTATTTTGGTTTATTTTTCATTTTGGACTTGGGCTAAATTATTAAATCCTTATTGAATATTTATTTCTTAAATTATGGGGAGTGGTCAAATGGTAGGGAGATTGAGAATCCTTTTTTGTACATTCCTATCTTTTAGGAAAAAGATTTTTAATGAGTTCTTGTGATATAAATAAGAAATAAGTTTTAATTAAATATGGATCACATAAGTCCATCCTATTTAGAAAAAGGAGGTTCGGCCTAGCCAAATTTTTCTTGTTCTTCTAGGAGTACTATTTAAATGTCTCTCACATATTTTTCTAAAGATTTTTAGTTGTGAGACCTAGCCGACCTTGAAAGCAAAAAAATTTCAGATTTATTCTTTCAAATAATTGAGTATTTCCTTAGCTTGGACTCGACTAGGATTACTTAGAGCATATCCTTAGAGTGATCATCTAAGGTGGGTTGTAGATTGTTGCTTGCAAAAGCTTGGAGTTGTGGTTTGAAGACCTTTTGGCATGTTTATCCCACAAGTACCTCTTACTCTGTCTACATTTGGAAACTTAGACTAGTTCTAGAGTTCGATAATTAGGCTTGCATAATTTTATAATAATGGTAGCTTAACTTGCATGAACTAACTAACTTTACTCCTCCAAGTTACTCCCAAAACATTATGCGTTGGAGAGGCTAGGGCTATTTTTTAGGGATAAAAATTTGTACGGACCTTCTAATGGACCTTTTGAGGTTTTTTTTATATAAAATTTGAGGATATTTGGAATCGCCTTGAGGGGTGAACGAAGCAAACATGTTGCTGAAATTCGGATAGTGCAAAGACATATTCGAGTTAGAATTTTAATCGACCTAAATAAGTCCTTAGGGGATTTTTTTTTTAATTGAAAATTTTCATGCTTAGACTAATGGGTGTTACGTATGTAGTGGTAAATTTTTAGTTGGTTTGAACAAATATAACCCGAGGTCCACCCCTTACTCTATTTGGATTGTTTGGGTGGCTTATTAGATAATTTCGTTTTTGCCTATTTGTAATTTAGTTAAGAATTTGATTGTTGTTGATTTGCAAAAAGATTGATATATTATTTGGAGATAGAATAGCTTTGAGCAGAATTTTATCTTTTGATTATTGGTTGAGCTTTCGCAGTGTTTGAAGCATCGTGTTATTACGGTATCATATATTGTAGAATTGAATGAACTTACATTAAAAGAAATTTACGAGTATTCACACATTGATGTTTTAGACATAACGAGTTATTGAAGGAACTAGGAATGATGATAATTACGAGCATGAATACAAGAGCAAAAATTCACTATCATCCTGTAAATTATTATCTACGATTATCGCCTACAAATTAATGCCCACTCATCATTGCCTAATAAGTTATTGCCTAAAAATTATCCCCTATCGGCTATTGTCTAACAAATTTCATTTCGAAACTTGTGATAGTGCTTCTTGAGCTCTTTACAATTGCAAAAAATTACTCGTGTTTTGGTATTGTTGTGTGTTCTTCTCTCTAGGTGTAGACGGGTATTTATAGGTTCTCTACTTCGCCCATGTTCTCTAGTAATGGGTCAATCTCTTATATGTGGGCAATAGTGCTCCATCTTCTTCTTTTTCTTTCATTACACTAGCTTGCTTTGTTTTCTTCATGTTGTAACTTTTTATGTTCCTCATAATTACTTGGATAGCGCTTTTATTATTATTTGTTACTCTTAACTACTTGTTGCTGGCCATCTGTCCTTTTTCAAATAGGACTTTCTCCATGTTTCATTCAACTTTACTAATTAAGAGTCCATCTTCCATTTATTCCAAATGGATCTTCAGTAGTCTCACTTGGAATAACTAGTTTGGCTTTAATATGAGAGTTGGGTTTAATAAACTTGCAAATGGCCTTTTTTTTTTTTTTTTTTTCCAATGAAACGCACCCAATGGACTTTAAGTGATTAAGCTCATTAAAAAACTGAATGAATCGTATCCAATTTTTATATCCAACTTATTTGATCCATATCCAAAATAAATTTGGGTATAACAATATGATTAAAATAATATTTTATTTATAAAACAATTACATACTAAAACTTTTGGATGGTGAAACTACCACTCTATTCTTGTATAAAGGGACTAAGCTAACTTTATATATATTTGTCTGTTTAGATTAATGTTTCAAAATATTAAATATAAATTTAAAAAAAAATCTTTAAACTTAAACATAGCATAAATAACAGTAAATATTAACTTCAAAAACCGATATAAAATTTAATGCCAATGATCATTTCCTTATGCTTTGATATGGTTTCATTAAAATAGATAGTTAATTTCAAAATAGGTTGAAAACTCTTGTAATTTTATTAGTCCTTATGCTTTTTTTACACAAATATTTTCTTTTTATCGGTATTATCGCAAGATACTATCCTTAGGTATTAAATAGTAAGAACTTATATATTTAATACTATGATTTTTTTTTTTTTTTGAAATAAAGTTTCACCAAAATGTTATTCTTGATTTATGATATTTAGAATATCTTGAATCATAAATTACAATATTGCCTTGAGGTATCATAAAATTACGAAAACCACGTAAAAATTTAATGTTATGATAGAAAACCACTTTAAATTTAAGAAAATATTACAGAAATACTCTTTTAGACCCAAAGTATCCGTCATTGTTATTAAAATAATAATTTAATTAAATAAATTAAAATAAAAGGTAAAATATAAATGAAAAAGAACATGATTTATTATGTTAGTAGATGAGCAATATTATATATTCTTCCCATAATTTATTACAGCTTTATAATTGGATATATATTTTTAATTAGGAATTAAGAACATTTTAAATAAAAAAAAGAGATGTGCCAAAATTTCAAACCTTTGATGGTTTCTGTAATTTTCTATTACCTCAAATGAGTTATTGAAAGTTCAATTTATTAAAAAAAAAAAAAATACAAAGAGGATTAGTATTGTCATTCTATTAACTTATGGAGTAGGAGGAGCGCCACCAAGAGTTTTTATTTTCTTCTAAAGAAAAGTTAAATAGAAAATTTTCAAATCTATTATGAAGATATCATTGTAAATATAATAAAACATGAACTTATTTGAAAGAAAACCATAAAATGGGAACTTACTGGTTATTTATTGTAATTATTTTGTATTTGTATTTTGTATTTTTTTTTTCCCCCAGCTTTATAAAAATTATATAAAGATTTATATGGTCGTTATAAGACCTTCAAAAAATGGGAGAAGCAATGTAGCATTCACAACATTGAGCAACATCAGACCTTCAACCCTGCAGTTGGGAGAAAAGAAGGATCCTATTTTGTAACTTGACTGAAGGACTTGTTTATTTGCAATTTTGCTGACAGAAGATAATTTCTCAGATAACTTAAGTAGACAAATAAAATTTTGATATATCAAAATTTTTCTTTTTTCTTTTCTATGAAAATAAAAAAATGGACCTCCTTTTTTCAGACATAGGCTGAAACAAGCATTCAGACCCGACATCGGTTTATGACGATGAATCAAACGTAGTGGCCTGAGATTATTCTGGCTTTGTTTTGCATATACAGGGCTAGTAGAACTCCAGCCTAGCCCACTCAGCCTAGAGAACGAGCTTTTCCCAACTGCCAGGAAATGAATGTCAAAGAAATTTGAAGCCAAAAACATTCAAAGTTAAGTAACGAGCCTCTGGCTTTGCTTAGCTGACCGAGAAAAAAACAAGAAGCTAGCTAAATGTAAACGTCAAAATTGTCTCTTATCAATGGAAAATAAGTTATTTCCTCTATTTCTTTGGTGATTGTTTTAAACATAGAATTTATTTGTTCATCAAACAACATTCACATCTGCTATGTGCACCATCTTACAACATCAAAGAATTTCCGAAACATGCACTTTAGCCTAACACTCTGTAGCTACTACCTACATAAAACTAATTAAGAATGTACAAGATATGACAAATATCAGTAACAAACAAGTGATACACCGATGATGATTAGTGCCCGGAGCCTTTCCCGCTAGGTCCAGAAGAAGCCAACTTATACACCTGCTGGTCTGTTCCTGAAACCTGCCCACCACCAGCATCCTTAACAGACTCTGGATAAACCGAAGCCTTCATATTGGTCGACACAGAACCAAATCCATGATCATAAATATCATTAGCTTCATGGTGATCATTGCTTTTGTTCTTTGTTCCAGATGGAAGGGCTCTACAATTAATGAGACTTGGGTTTGTAACAAGTAGGATCATGAACAAGATCATTAGGACTAAACAGAAATGTCTCATTGTTTGATATGTTGTAGCTGCTTGGTTGTGTGTGTGTTTTTTTTTTTTTTTCTCAGCTTTAATAATAACTCCACCTATGACACCCTTGAAATATTCTGTTGAGACCCAAAAAGAGTGGAGCTCTTTTTTTGTCTTTCGGTTGTGGCAAAGAACGGAGCTGAAGGAATTGATTTGGATTTTGGAATCTCCCTTAAATAGGATACCGACCTTAAATTCACACACAAGTTACATTAAGGGGTGGCTTGGGTGGCATTGGACGGAGAAGGGCTTTTTGGAATGGGCCCCTTCAATTAAGAGAACATTTGACTTGGAGTTTTCTTCAATTTGTTTTGTTACGTAAAAAAGGTTTGAATTTTAAATTTTATAATTTCTTAATTTATTTTTAAAAAAAAGAAAAAGCACTAATAACAGTATCAATTGCTATTAACGAATTCTTTTTATTTGTTTCAAAACAAATTTCACGTTCACATTTGTGCTTTTCAATTACCTTTGTCTGTGGAAATGATTTACCTATTGTGGAAACACAAATAGTGGAACTACATGCTTTGTTTAGACAGCATCTTTCATCGCTAAGTATAGTAAATCCGACAGATAACAAATTTGGCACCATTATTAATTTGAAAATGGGCTAGTGGGTCTACTAAAAAGGAATAATTCCTTTTACCATGGCGAAAGAGGAACTTAAATAACGATCATATCGTACAAGTTTTTAACCACGCCTTTCATAACTGACTCCCTCTTTGGTAAAATATTATTTCTTTCACATTTGCTCAGTTGGCATTATTTTTTTCTGAATAGTGTCCAAAAAGCGTTAATTACTCTGTACAAAAGGAATGTAGAGCCACTGCGTGGGAGACATCTTGAAAATAGATTAAACAATTGCCTAGTATGTCATTTGACATACATAGAATTAGAATTGTAACGATTTATCAATGAAAAATAACGAATATAAAGTGAAAATGTAGGAGGAACAACTAGTAAATAGCAAAAGATTAGTGAATAGTAAAAATTTAAATATATGAAATTTTATGAGTTATGTCGTGTAGAGAGCTTCGAAAATGAGTTCTATTCAGCAGAACGTAAACAAAAGATTTTAAAAAATACTTTTACGATATTGCAAGATTGGTATTTATAATAAAAAAAGAAAAGATTTTTAATGGCTAAAATCCCATCACTTGAATAGTCAGATTTGAGCAAGAAAAAAAACAAAACAAAAACTATGGTACTTTGGATTAAACGGTCTCAATTTGTTGGAAAATGGTAAAAATAAAAATAAATAAATAATTTTTTTATTGGACCTTTCTATAACCTTATTAAGTTACTAATGTATGTCAAAAACAAAGCATAAAACCTATCTCTACCACAATAATGTGTATATTCTTGCACGACCCGAGTTTTATAACGAAAGAAACTCAATATTAATTCAATTGACGTGCGGCTAATATGTGTGTATATATATATATATATATATGTTCTTATATAATATTCAATATTTGTCATATATTCCTAGATCTTTAATTACATTTTATTTATCTTTAAAAATATTTAAAATGTTCAATATATTTTTCTAATCAATTTTTTTTTCAAATATTTTTTAAAAAAAAATTAAAATGCTCCTGATTAAAATGAAAAAAAAATCTAAAACTTCAAAAATAAAACGTATAAGTTATGTGATTTGAAGTATTTTTATTTTTTTATATTTATGTTTATTTTATTTTATTTTATTTTATTTATTTATTTATTTATTTATCTTAGTAAAAGATATTTTGATAAACAAAAAAAATTATTGTAAGAAAATTTGATTGGAAAAACAAATTGAACATTTTTAAAATTTTCAGAAATAAATATAATGTAATTAAAAATCTATAGAAAGATATGAGACCTTGAGTATTACATAAAAATAAATAAATATATTTATCTTCAAAAGAATAATTAGTTAATTTTAGGACAAACCAAACGTATCCAATCGCCTTACAAAATGTTAATATTCTTGTTATCATATTAATGGATATTAATGATACATTGCTTTCGTTACCTAATGGTGGCCATTGCGCAAAGCATTTTTCACCCTCAGCCTTTATTTTTCTTTCCGAAAGGCAGCTAAAGCGAAAGAAATGTGCGTTACTTGAAGCTAGGATCATCCAGTTTTAATTGTTGTTTAATGTTTTAGTTCCAAAATAAATAATAATAAATAAATAACTAGTTTTTGGACTTCATTTAATTTAATCAGTAAATTCAATTATCTTAACTAGTCTGTGGGCTTGGGTCACATAGCATGGTCAAAAAATTGAGTATTTAATTTCACTGGCATTCAAGGGATAGGAATAAAAGGGGAAAAGGGGTGGGCTGCAACATGCATCTCAACTAGTATTAGTAAAGTACTGCCATTCTTTGATACCTTTTCCATTTCAGTGGTTGGAGAAGAAAGTATCGTCAATGGTCGTAGGAGGATACAACAACAAGGGAACCAACCAATACCATTCAAACCCTCCTTTACAGATTCACACTGTCTAAGTTCCAAATTGTTGTTTAGTACGTGTCATTTCTGAACTACAATCATAAATCGTTCCTTTTTCCTTTTTTCACAATTTATTGCGAAAGGAACGGTGGACTGAAGACAAGATCCGCAAGTCAAGATGGTAGAAAATTAAATCGTGGGTATGAACTTTTTTTAAAAAAAGAACAGGAATCTCAGTGTCCTTGAGTGAAAAGGAATTGAAAAGGATGGAGAAGGCAAAAAATAATAGAGAGGAGTTTTGTTGCACAAGGGCCCCGGAACCCATAAAAAATGAAACATCAAAGGATGGGGTCACGCTCAAAAAAATATAATATATATATGTGCAAGAGGTGCAAGACAAACGATGACTTGCCGGATTCTTTGTGCATAATTTTTTAATTTAATTTTTATGAGAACAAGTTGCCTAAAAGTCTCATCCTCGTGACTCTTCGGACATTAATAAGACAATATTAATCCAAATAAAAATATCTAGTAGCTAAAATTGACTATTTCAACAGTATCCGCTGCTCCATGTAACTTTTCTTGATTTTAAGTCTTATGGACAAATTGCGACAACACCATTTTTATTTTCTCAAATGACCTAATTTCAATTTTAATTTGATATGTAAATTACTCCACATGACTCCATTTCAAACCAAGTTGTACCAAATGAGTAATGAGCATGTTTTCTTCCTAAATGCGTGCATGGACTCTAATCATGCTGAACTGGTTTCGGTTCGTAGGCCGCTAGAACTCTCTTCTGTTAAGTCATCCCTGTTAGGTGGTTATTGTTAGGATTGTAATATATAACTGAATTACGACTAGGTTAGAACCTTATGCTTGTGTTTATCTTATATTACATTAGTTTATGACATCATGACAATAAATATTTGGCTACTAAACCTATTGAAGCTCTCATATCATGAAGAGTTTTAGTGTCTAGTGAATTCAACATTTGCTTCTTTTTTTGAGGCCGAAATTTATAGGTGTGGGTAGACTTTTGCTTGATTTGACTTGGTCTCCATCATTCATTTGGTCTAATCTTCATCCTTAATTCTTCTTTTAACTTCAGCCTTTTATTTGGTTTAATCCTTATCCTCAATTTTTCTTTAAATCCAAATCACCCATCACATTAATCCTAACCTTCCATTTGTTTACTTAATTATTACATTCATTAATACAGAGGGTGAGGTGGCAGGTTAAGGTGGAAAGATTTGACAAAAAAATATTCATTTTAATCCTTTGATTTATCACATTTTTTCAATTACATCCCTACCTTTAGCCCCTACAATTTTAATTGACTACTTTTAGTCCATCCATAAGTCCTTTCTAATATCTCTATGCCTCCTCAATATTATTTCCAAACTTATTGGAAGGCTAAAGCTTTTAATTTTTATGCATTTGGATCCCAAATTTTATGTAATTAGGTCTCTAACTTTATGTAATTAAATCTCTATGCATATAATTGATTCCACATACTTTCAAAAAATAATTTTTTTCACCATACATTCATGCACTCTCTATAGTAATTTATTCATCAAGCATATAAATTTTATGTACTTATCTAGGTACTCAAAATAATTATTTTGCATAAAAATACATTATTCGCACACATAAAAGTTAATAAACTATTCATCAAGCACGGAAAAATTCACTTAAGTATATAAAATATTCTAGCATCCCTCTAGCAATTATTCTATGCTCATAGAATTATTTTCACACACATTTAAAATATATTAATTTATTTATTCATAAGTTCGGGATATTACACACTCCCTCATAAAAATTTCGTCCTCGAAATTTTTAACTAAATAACTTGAGATATCTAGTTCATATTCATACCTCTCTTTCCCATGTTGTTTCCTCAATCTTATGGTTGCTCCATAATATTTTCATCAAAGGAATCTCTTTGCTTCGAGATACCTTGACCTCTCGATCCAATAATTGTATCGATCTCTCTTCATAACTCATGTCGAGCTAGAAGTCGGGTTGCTCACTATTCACTATTTGGGTTGAGTCCTCAATATATTTTCGAAGCATGGACATATGAAAATACATCATGAATTAAGGAGAGAGAAGGTGGTAATGTCGACCTTTATGCTTTGTCACCACTTCTCTCTAGTATTTCATATGGTTCAATATACCTCGGACTTAACTTTTCTTTTCTTTCAAACCTCATCAAGCCTTTCATTGGAGCCACTTTCAAGAATACCTTATCGCCGACCTCAAATTCTACATCTTTTCTCCTTACATCCTCATAACTTTTCTATCAATTTTGAGATGTTTTCATCATTTCTCTAATTTGTTGCACTACATTAGCTATTTGCTAGATTAACTTTAGTCTTAACAATTTTCTTTCAACTATATCATCCCGAGTGTGTTGGTGATCAATACCTCTTAGCGTATAAAGTTTCATATAGTGCCATACTAATACATGCTTGATAACTATTATTATAGGAAAATTCAT